AGGGGGATGCAAGTGATCCAAAATGCTAACTTGCCCTATGTAGTTATTGTCTAATAATTGTTTAGCTTCAATAAAATCTATAACCTCATTAGTGATTGTAATATTATGTAAATCCCTCTATTGTCTCTCAATGGGAAAATTAACCCTGCATTTAACCCATCCCCTTGGGGAGCAGTGGCTGCCATCGTGGGGCGCCCAGGGAGCACTCTTGGTGAAGGGTCTTGCTCAGGGACCCAGAGTGCAGACTGTGGGGATCAAACTGGGTATTTGTAACCCTAGTGGTTAGGGCATAGAGCTTGGAATCCTGATGTTCTGAGTTTTAGCCCCACTCCCACTGACTGCCATTCTGGGTCTCTGACCTTTAACCCCAACCTGCTCCCTGGGTGCCCCACGATAGCAGCCCAGTAAAGTTCAGCTATTACTATTATTATTGATCATTCTCTTTCAGTAAAAGTAAATATCAATAGACTTTGAACTTTTTTCTGCTTTCTAACATTACAAACACACACTTTGTGTTTTACTCAAATATTGAGTGACTTTGCGACATGAAGTAATGTGAAATGCAATGAAAATATCATTTATGGTTTTCTAGTTTTATGTGCATTTGTATTCATGTTTAGTATTACTATGTATAACCACCTTTATACACTTGCACGTTATTCCTTTTCAGTCACATATCTACCAGGTTTTGCTTAAAAACTGAAACAGATTGGATGGAAATCACCTGAGAACCAGTTTTATATTTTTGGGCACAGACTGAATTGGGTTTTGGTCTGTGCTTTGACTGGGCCATGCTGACAGACTGGCTCTGCTCTATCATTATCCCGCTGTAGTGCTAGCTTAATGTTGATGGGTATTATTTGCTGGAATTTGAATAAACATGAACTCTCCCATCCATCCTCCCATCAAATTCATCCAGTTGCACCGACCATCTTTGGACAACATATCCCACAGATCGGTTAAAGGACAGCAGATAATGATCCAGTGTTTCTGTCTGTTGAACACCAACACCTCAGCTGCTTTCCTTTTTATGCTTTTATTACAATCCCTCCACACTCCTGCTCTTTTTTACTAGCTCCTAACGTAGATCAATTCAGTGGAAGTCTCCGCTCTACGTTGGCATCTTTCTGTGCATCACAGGGTTAAAAGAACAAACGTAGAACCTGGAATCTAATGTTCTTAAATGCTTATAGAAGCTAATCCCCAATATAGGTCTAAACAAAAGATCACCTTAGATTATTTGCAAACTCAACCTGCCTTCTTTCAATGTTTAGTTGCACATGATTGTTTCAGGAGTAAAGAAGCCTGAAAACCACATAACATTTTTAATTTGTGATTTACAGCTATGCACAGCCTTGAGTTTATCATATAAAGATGTATCTAAGGAGAATGAAGAGGATCTATATTAGTCCTAAATGTTCCATCTGCTTTGGGGTCCAAAGTGATGTGGGTTGTAGCTGAATAAGGAGCAGATAATCTGTATAGACATTTGAAAATATTTGATATCAACTACAAATAGTTTACCAATTGTTTGATTTGGAGAAAATCTAAACTCAGGGTTAAGAAGAAAAAAAAAGATCAAATGGAAAATAATCTTTTTTTGCTCTAGTTTTTTCTCAAACAAACTTTGAAAAGATTGAAGTCTATATATTGTGTGAAATTCCACAATATATGTTTGATCCTCTGCAGTAGGGTAATGTTGCTTATCTCTGTGTGTCGGCAGGCCGGGATGTGATCGGCCTGGCAGAGACGGGTTCAGGAAAGACGGGTGCTTTCGCTCTCCCCATCCTCCAGTCACTGCTGGCGTCGCCTCAGAGGCTCCACACGCTCGTCCTCACGCCCACCAGAGAGTTGGCCTTCCAGATCTCCGAGCAGTTCGAGGCTCTGGGCTCCAGCATTGGGGTTAAATGTGGTACGTTTGTATGAAAGGGTACCGACTTTACTGATCATAAAACTTTATTTATTGCCCTTTTTCTATTAAAACCTGTTTCCTATCTGTTGCAGCTGTGATTGTTGGTGGAATCGACATGATGTCCCAGTCCTTGGTGTTAGCTAAGAAGCCACATATTGTTATCGGTAAGAGAATGGATGGACCCTCTTTCTGCTTTTTTAGAAATGTTTAATAAATTGTTTGTCTGCTTTTGTTTTTGGACTTAAACCACTTCATTTATGATTTTTACTAGGGCTGAAGCCAACGACTATATTGCTAATCACTTAATCTGTTGATAATTTTTTCAATTAATCCATTAATATCCAAAGGTTCCTGAAAGAAGATATTTTTATAGAATTAAACCAGATGAAACAAAAACTTTAGAGCATATGACGGCAAAAACGTTTTGCATCTTAAATGCAAGATATTGTATAATAATTTATATTTTCATAACTTTGATATAATTACTAAAGGCATGTTTAGAGTCTCTGTACTTAAGTTAACGGTTAATTTATTATTAAATTAGTTGCCTATTATTTCAATAATCACTTAATCATGATTAATCCGATAGTTTTAGGTCTAATGCTGACTGAATGTTTTTCAGCCACTCCCGGTCGGTTGATCGATCACCTGGAGAACACAAAGGGCTTCTCTCTGCGAGCTCTGAAGTTCCTGGTCATGGATGAAGCCGACAGGATCCTCAACATGGACTTTGAGACTGAAGTAGGTTCTCACAGGAGCAAAAATGACTTGATAAAGCGCTCATATTAAAACTAAAGCAAATGAGTAAGAGGATCCATGGTTTTTAAGATTTCTAGACATGTTGGCCAACTGATAAGTATGAGCAGGTTTAGGCTCCTCCTTCCTGGATTACTGCAGCAGAGCTCAGGTGTTGTTGGAGTCCAGGTTGCTCTCATAGTGGCCTTCAGCTCTTCTGCTTCCTTGTCATGTCAAATCCAATCCACTGTGTTTATTAGGGCTGTGGGAAAAAAATCGATTTGGCAATATATCTTGATTGTTGGCTGCCTGATATAATATCCATCTTTTAGTTCCTAGTGTTGATTTCTTTAAAGCAAAACATTTTAACATAAAACTGAGGGACAAATGGCTCCCTCTGCTCGCCACTCTGGCAGATAATGCTGTGGAGCCAGTTTGCTGTGCTTCGCAGCGCTTTATCTGCTTTTCATCTATACATTCAATTTTGATAGCAGGAAAAATCTCACAAAATATGTTGATATTGCGATTTAGTGATAATGTCGTATCGCAGCACCCACGCCAATACTCACCCTCAGTATTTATATAACACCTTCTATAAACAGCAGTGTTTCCAAAGTGCTGCACATTAAGATAAACATGTACTTAATTCAGTTGGATGAGTGATTAAAAAAACAACCGATAAAATTAGATGGGAAGGTTTCAGCGATTATTTGTTAAGTCAGCAGTTTTATGCTTCAATATTTGACCCTTTTCACAATATGCTAATTCTCTGAGGCAGTGAGTTTCAAAAGTTAACACTTTACAACCATGGCATTAAAAGTAATTAACATTTGTAATATCAGTCTGCATGTAATGAATGAATATAATATATAGGTTTCACTTTTTGAATTGAATGATTGAAATAAATAAAACTTTTTAATGATATACTAATTGTGTGACCAGCGTATGTGTATAACTACGCACACAACTAAAGGTTACTTTTCTAATTGGTTGATTTGTCGACTAATTTTGTCACTCATTGATTAAAAATCTGGAAGTTAAAGATTTCGTTTTTATTTTAACAATTTGAGCTGGTTGAAGCTAAAACGATGCCACCTAAGGATGTCTAGAGAGCATATGTAAGGAAAAAATAATTTTTTAAACATCGAATAAAACATTTTTATTTTTTAGCCTGATTATTAGTGTGCGTGGGTTGTTCTTTTAGTAGGTTTTATATTTTATGCACACTCTGGATAAACATAATTTAATGATCAATTTAATAAGTGATTAAGATTAATCTGATTAAAGGCCAGATCCCACCGGCTGTGTACGATGTTTTAATCTCTGATACGATTTTTTAGAACTATTTTGCACTGACTGCGTATAGAAAGGTTAGACTGTGAAGATCTGTGCAGATTTCTTTTTCACTTCTGTCTCTTTGCTACACAAATCTAAAGCAATTTGCAACATTTGATTTGGACAGATTATGAAAGTTAGTGAAATGAATAGATAAAAGAAAACCAGTGCAGCTATAAAGCAAAGCCCCTCTAAATGAGTCTGTGCTGCATCTTAAACCAGATAAGATGGAGATTATTTATGACTATATTAAAAACGTAATGAGATCTATGCTTAAAGAAAATAAAAACACAGGAATAAACGCCGTGGGACGGTTTATAAGCTGACTGAGGCAGAGAGGTGATTCTCAGAGAGAGGTCTGTGAAGTTGTGTAGAGTTAAGCACTTTGGTTTCCTGCTCTGTCTGCCGCTCGTTATTTCGTTCTATGCGAGGCTCAAAGAGGATCACTATTTTACTGAATCCGTTGTCTGCCCTCCTGAAGTTCCTTTTTTTTCTCGATAAACTGCGCTTTCTGTCCCTTGTTGCTTTTGCACGGCTTAAGAGGATCAATATTTGATCCTTTTTCTGTCCCCCTGAACTGCCATCACGGGTAAAGCATATTTTTTAATGATTTTATTATTATTTTTTGCCGGAGTCTGTCCCGCCTGCTGCTCTGTGCGACTCCAGATTAACACATTTTATTTCGTATTTTCCCCAAAAAGGGGATGTGTTTTACTTTGTAACCGCGTCTCTCTTCCTGTCAGACCCATGAAATTACCGTTGAATTTCTGCTTAGATCGACCTACTCAGGCCCCTGCAGAACTCATACCTCCTGGCTTTTAATGAGATCTAAACGCCACAACATTGTCCGGCGCGGTTTTGTGTCGGATTGGATGAAAAACGGGAATGGATGTTCTGGCCTTAACAGTTTCAGCTCTAGGAGAGAATAAGAGCTTTGGGTTTAGACAGATGCACCTTGATTTAAGGTTTTGTGCTTTTATTATCATCACAAAAGTTTTACTCTTGTTAAATAGTTTCTATACAAACTTGTAACTTTATCTGGTGGTTCTTAGTTTGGACTATAATAGCTTTAAATCTTTGACTGGATCCTACAGTATGTAGTCGGTGGCGTCGGTGCTATCTGGGTTCCAGAAAACAAAGGATTCTTAAATAAGCTGCCATGATTTTTAGGACCTGGTGACCCGTGTTTACCCAGACTTCCTGTCCAGTCTGAGCTCGAGTCATTCATAGGCAGGAAAAACTTTCTATTAATTACTGACTCAAGACAATTCAAAATTGAAAACAATTCCTTTGATGTTTTGTTACCGTTTTTATTATTTCCTGTCCAAAAAAAAAAAATCAATGCAGTTTGTAGTTATAGGGTGATAAAATAAAAACAATGTCCAGACATAAACATCGATTTTACAGTTTGCCTACCTCTGCACTCATATTTTCCTCCCATAAGTTTATTAAAGGTCGGATCAATCCACCTGTAATGAGATATTTGTGTTTTTTTTTATTAGGTGGACAAGATCCTGAAAGTTATTCCTAGAGACAGACGGACCTTCTTGTTCTCAGCCACCATGACCAAAAAGGTACTTTAATCGTCCTGTAATGCCTGTGAGGCCAGAGTTGACCTCTCTGCTCAGGAGTCTTTCCTTTGTTCCGCAGGTCCAGAAGCTCCAAAGAGCGGCTCTCAAAGATCCCGTAAAATGCGCCGTTTCCACCAAATATTCCACAGTAGACAAGCTGCAGCAGTACTACATCTTTATTCCATCCAAATACAAGGTAAGGCTTTGATCCTACAGTGGATTCCTGTCTGTTTGTTCTTGGTTTTGGTCTTTAAACGGTTTACTCTGCTGTAGGACTGTTACCTGGTTTCCATCCTGAACGAGCTGGCTGGGAACTCCTTCATGATTTTTTGCAGCACGTGTAACAACGCCCAGCGGGTGGCGCTGATGCTCAGGAACCTGGGCATCACCGCCATCCCTCTGCACGGCCAGATGAGTCAGGTAGAGCTCGCTTTGCTTCATCATTTCATAAAACCCTGCTGTCTGAAAGGCGTGTGCTTGCTAAGACATCTCTCTCTTTTCTGCAGAATAAACGTCTCGGAGCTCTTAACAAGTTCAAATCAAAGTCTCGTTCTGTGCTCCTGGCGACCGATGTGGCGTCTAGAGGCCTGGACATCCCTCATGTTGACTGTGTCATCAACTATGACATCCCCACACACTCTAAGGTACGGCAGGGGTCGTTCTTTAGCTGTTTGACTGCCTGTTTCTGTGTTCAACCTCTAACTGATATTCTCACCCGTCTGTTCTCACAGGACTACATCCACAGAGTCGGGCGAACGGCCAGAGCAGGGCGTTCTGGGAAATCCATCACTTTTGTAACGCAGTAAGAGTCTTTTTCTACGCTTTGTTTCAGCCGTCTGTTTTGAAATCCGTTTCTGCTAAATGTTGACCTTTTTCATCCCTGATCCTGAAGGTACGACGTGGAGCTTTTCCAACGAATTGAAAGTTTAATCGGGAAGAAACTCCCGGCGTTTCCAACGCAGGAGGAGGAAGTGATGATGCTGGTGGAGAGGGTGAGCGAGGCTCAGAGGTTCGCCAGGCTGGTAAGTCCACCCTCAAAAGATCGCCCCTTTTAGATGTTAACACAAACATTAGACAGGATATTAAAAAAAAAAAAAAAAAAAAAACAAAAAACCTGTTCCTTCGACTCGCATGAAAAACATCTAAAATATCTCCAAATTTAAAATTACTTTTCTTTTCTGTTAACAAATTAGTTAAAGTTCTGATATGGTGACAATTTAATTTTAATAGCTGTTGCTAATGCAATCCATTTTAATATTCAGAAGAATTAAAGTGTGTTTGTTGGAAGTATTGACACTATAGTGTCAGAGACACTAAAGGTCTTCCTTGGTACTCCTTGGTCCCGGCTGGTGTCGTCTTGACTACAACACTCTTATATTACTGTGTTAGGTTATCGGCTACATTAGATTTTAATTAGAGGTTCCGCACTTTTTTGTTTTAGTGTCCAGGAACCTTTTATTAGTTTGTGTTCCTGGGGTATAAATATAATGTGACCCAGACCTTTCTCTGCCCCTGGGAATAAAAAGCAAAGTTTTATTTTATTATTGATATATATAAAAATAAGGGCTATCATAAAAAGCCGGGTTTCTGCGGGTTATTTAAAATCATTAAAAGTCATAAAATCATTATTTTTAAAATTAAGGCCTTAATTAGGATTAAAATTCATTAAATGTAATTATTGTGGCATTTAAAATGCTTTATTTAAAAAATAAAAAAAAAAGTTTATAAAAAATGTTGTCACATATATTGGATATAACTGGTTTGCGTGGAGCTGCTTCTGGTTGATCATAAAGCCGTATGTTTGGAAAAGAAGCTCGAGGCGGAGAGAATCTAGAGAATGAGAAAATTCACATTTTAACAGAAGAGGCTGGAGAGAGAGAGAGAGAGAGTGTTGATGGCATTGAAATTATTTCTAAGAGCATAAAAAGAGCATTAAAAGCATTAAATTAAGAGTTACTCCTTCCTGTATAAACCCTGAAAATAACATTTTGTTCATTGAGTCTGTTGGGTTTTTATTTATTTGTTATGATTAATCATTTGATTCACAGAATTTAGATTTCTAAAGAATTTAAACCAGGTGAAGCTAAAAGAACGTGACTTGAGAAGTTCTAAATAGAACATGATCACAAAAAAATCGGTTTTCAATCTTTAATGCAAAATTTGTGTGTATAATTATATATGCATGCTAGATAGGTTCCTCTCAGCTAATAGCATGGTTTAGTCTTTATACTCTAATTAACGATTAATTAATCCATTAATCCATCCAATTCAGTTGATTATGAAAATATATATATTGCCATTTTGCATGTTATCACAACACACATTAACAGAATCATTTTACTTAAATCAGGCATTTAAAATCTTTGCTATCCATGAAAACTGAGCTGAAAGTCATTGGCTTTGCAGAACTTGCTCCTCCTGGATGAGCTTCTAGCGACGTGGGAAATAAAAAGTTCCCCTTTAGTATAAGTGAGGCTGAAAGCATCTGAAGTTTCTCACATCTACAGTCAGACTAGTTAGTTAAAAGGCTTCAACCAGCTGGAGCTTTAACAAATAATGCTGTTGAGAGATGGGAATGATATATTATTGTGTTTGACGACAGCAGCAGTGGGTTGTAATATTTAACCCTGATTAAAATGCCTTCAAGGCAGTGCTGTCCAAACTTTATGCTAAAATGTTTAACTAGTATTTGATTAAAATAAAACACAACTTCTATTTTAAACATGTAAGGAACACAGCAATATTTCATTTTTTAAGTGTCAGAATAAACAATTACTGTTTGAACAGAAAGCATCTGGCTTCATGCTAATATTTATGGCCTCTCTTTTATTCTGCATGAAAGCAGAAATAAAGAAATCTATTCATCACTTTATGGGAAATAATGAAACGGCTTCATGTTAAAATAATGCTTCATTCAACCCTTAGAATGACAGGCGGCTACTTGTGGTTGTAAGAAGGTATAAGAGATGACGATTATAACCAGAAAAAAACTTCTGAAGGGGAAAAAAAAAATCCTAACTGTGGTGAACCGCGAGAGGAAAACTGAGAGCTCATCTCCAGGAATTGCTTCAAATCCGGACTCTATTTGGGAATCTTGATTTTAAACATTTGGAGACTTTCGTCAGTCAGGCAAGTTATCTGTGTGGAAACTCTGAGCAGAAACAGCTGCTGAATGACCTCATGGTTCGGTGAACATTGTGATAGTTGTTTCCATCTCTCTTCTTTTAAAAAGTGTGAGAGAACATTTTATTTTTCTCAGGCAAAGATGTTTCCTTCATTTTTCCTCCCGTATTTCCATGTCCTAGATATAAGGAAAACGAGTTAATAACACCTGAGATCTAGCTTCTTATTACTTTAAAACACTTTCATTAGGAAATGGGGGGAAAATGTCACTGTGGATTTGTAATATAGTTCTGGAACAAGAGTCGAATCATCCTAACAAAAATGACCTCTCTGTTTCAGGAAATGAGGGAACAAGGGGAGAAAAGGAAGAGACCCAAAGCTGGACAAGGCGAGGATGAGGACGACACAGAACAAGCCAGCGGAGTGAGGAAGAAAGTCAAAGGAGGATCAGGAGGAGGAGGAGGAGGAGGAAGAGGAAGAGGAGGGAAGAGGGGCGGAGGAGCCTGGAGAGGAGGACGCTGAAGCATCATAAAATGTACAGAACCACAACACAAGACGCCTCTCCTCTTTCTGATGTACACTTTATGACGGCTTGTTTTCCACCCTTCGCTCTGCCGGCTCAACGACTATTTAACAGCACAATAAGTGCTTTCTTTGTCCCACTATGAGTTTTGTTCCATTCTAATAAAAACATTTCTGTAAAACTTGTTTCATGCCTGTTGGTGTCAAGTTTTTTTGGAGTGATTGTCTTAAACCGCGAAGGGAAAAAAAAACTGCCTTAAAGTCTTCTGAAAGAAAAATATTGGATTTGATGGTAAATAATTAGCTTACAGATAAAAGCGGATGTTTTTAAAAGGGTGCTATATGGCTTCCGCTCAGGACGGCATCGAACTGAGGGCGGCCTGAGAACTGTCTTCATTAAAACCCTGAATGTTACAACAATCTGACCGACAATACTGGTTTACTTTCTTATAAGAATGAGGAAGTCAGAGTGACGTAATCGCCATGGTGATATGGTTCAGTTTATCACTTGTGTGAAAAAGCATGCTCATAATCTTTATTGCTCGTACAGCTATGGCAATGGTTATAAAAATAACAGCACTATCGTGTGTGGCGTTTATTTTCTGCATTTAGAATTGTTGAAAAATTTTGTAAACGCAAAAGTTGTACATTACTAAAGGTAAAGAAATCTGCTAAAAACAAAGTAAAGTTTATAACATTTATGCAAACAGCAGCAAACTTGAATGCTGAAGATGATCAGGTTTACAGTCCATTAAGCTAGATCTGGTACAAAAATGAAGTTTTAAATTCATGCACTACAAAGATTTTAACAAATATTACTATATTTTAAAGAAGGACCTTATTTTTTTGCTAGTAGCCTACTTATGTTCTATTTATGAACTTTTGAGAGCAGGGGAGGACATAAGACACAGGTCCACAGTCTCTGACAGGTGTCTCTAATGTAAGTGCGCCCCCTAGTGCTTAAACAGGCAAAGTTGTACTGTTTTTGATATCACACTTCTATTTTTGTGTTTTTGTTATGCAATGATCACTGTAAAAAAATGTATTTTTTTTTAAAAAAAAGACACAAAAATTACGCTCCTAAATATTTTTTTTTTACAAGAGACAAGAAAATACATATTTTAAGGATTTTTGATCAAACTTTAAATATTGTCCCGAAAAAAAGAGCAAAAAACTGTGATTTATAGGTACAGTGTGACAATAAAAGAGAAGAAAATGAAATGTTTCATGTTTATTTCAGAAAAATTACACCCTACCATTGAAAAACAAACAAAAAAAAAATCAAAAGATGTGGAAGATATGACAGAGGAAATGATCACTCGATTTACAGACGTCTGTCTTGTTCAAATGTTCAAAATAGCTTAATGTAAACCTTTATTTTCCTTTTTTGTCACGACATTCAAGGCCATTTGACCCTTTTAAATGCTACTAATACATTTGGTTTCTCAATGAATCATGAAAAATTAGAATTTGCTCCTAACATATTTTGCCACAGAAAGCTACTCAAACTTCAGTGCTTAATTATATCTTCAGTTTAAAACCACTCTACTATACTCTGTGCAGATGTTATAACATATAATATTGTTTTTATCCATCATCTTGTGTGTTTGTTGTCCACCTGTTTTTTTTTATTTTTATTTTGTTTTGTTTTCCATCCATTTGTTCATCCCTCAATGTGTCTCTGTCTTTCTTTCCTTTTGTCCAGCCGTCCATCTGTCTCTTTACCTGTCCCTTTTTTTGTCCATCCACCCATTTATTTTCCCACCTTTGTCCATTCATCTATTTGTCCATTTATCCAATATCTGTCAGGAATGTATATAACCCTGTGGGCTCAATTTAACTGGTGCCCATTTATGATGGCACACAATTTTTTAAAATGAAATATGGATCAAAAAGAGTAACCTGATAATTACTATAATAATGAGAGCCTAATGAAGTTTTCTTGAGACAACTGGTTTAAAATGCCTAATATGGGACACAAACAATGAAAAAAAAAACTATTTAAGATAAAAATAATTATCCTTAGATTACTCTCCTAAAAGTGTACAATTCCAAAATACCCAGCAGAAAAAAACAGCAAAACAGATCTCAAAATTAATACAGGTAACATCCTTAAACCTATGAGACAGTTTAAAGCATTTGTAAAAGATTCTTGGTAGAAAATGATATTTAGACATGGAAATGTAGCCTGTAGTAATAAAGTGCAGCTGTGCCAAAACAGTCTATAACTGGGCTGGTGGGCTGTTTTTATTCTTATGTGATCTTATATTTTGTGTGTGTGAAGGTTAGATGGGGTGAGTGTGGGGCCAGTGCCCCTGTCTAGATCTGGCCCTGGCAGCTGTTATTGCCTCTGTTCTCAAACATCTTAATACCGCTATAGCTTAAAGTTTACTCTCATAAAAAAAAAAAAATGTATAGAGTAAATTGTAACGGTGAAATCTGAAATTGGTCCAAGGAATGAAACAAAACTAAGTATTAAACTGGAAAAACTAAAAATAGGCAAACATTTCTTTAACTGTTTCATCTGTGCAGGTAAAGAAGATGATTTAGCATTTTCTCCCTTAAAGTGAGATTTTTAGACATTACACATTTGATACTTAATATGTACCCCTGAATATGAGAGCTGTCTAAAGTTTGTATCATTATAAATAATCTCTGAAAGCTCCTTTATATTCCTTAGCATTTAAATGACTATAAACCTCCTGTCATGTCTTTTCTTATTTTTTATTGTTATCGTTATATTTTATTCAAATGTGCTTTATTCATTTATGGTTTTATGAAAACTGTATATGACTTTGGTGCAGTTACAAGCTGTCTTTAAAGTGCTTTATAAATAAAATTGGCATGTAAATAGCATCATGGAATGGAATTATTTTAGATGTACATTTTATTCCATCAGCAAATTGTCGTATCTATCTGTTTAAATCAAGGGAAATACACTTATTTTATTTTTATTAAAACATTAGTTACTTATATCGGAAGGTTTGCAGTGTATAATTCCAGAACAGGGGCCATAATAGGGTGTACACCATTGGTGTAGGTTTGCAGAGGATGACGTACTTGTCACTACCAACAATTAGATGTGAACAACATGTTTATATTTTACAATACAGCTTTGTTGCAGCTGTAGAGGGGTTCTGGATAGAGAATATTGACAGACGAAAGCATTTTTTTTAATCTAAAATGCAAAATCTTTATACATTTTTAGTTTTATTTTACATTTTTGTTATAATTCCTGCTGTAAGTTGGTCGCACTGTGAGCTAAAGACATGTTTTAGAGTCTATACTCCAGTTAACGATTAATTGATTACTAAATTTGTTGACATTATTTCAACAATTGATTAATTCGATGAATTGTTTCAGCCTTAAACAAAATACATGAAATGGGTTAAACAGAGTAACAACAGCCTAGATGTACAACTTGTAGAGTGAATGTTCTAAATGCTCAGTGTCAGTTCCTCTTCTAGTTCCAGTGCTAATGTAAATAAAATAAATTCATTTGGCGTCCCTTGAATCTTTTATTTTGAATTGTTTAATGATACAAAGAGAACATTTAAAAGATAAGAGTGGGTTTTACCTCTGTTTACATCTGCATATTTATATATCTTCAAAAGAAAACAACAAGATAAATCCACATATAACAGACATATTTAGACTATATTTGGTTAAATAGGCAAAGATTTACCTACTGTCTTAGTTGCTGGTAATTTGAAATGCAAACCTCTTCAAAGTGGAAAATAACCATAATTCCTCATTCATCAGAGCCGATGATGCTTCAAACATTGATAAACAGCAACTAGTGTGTGTAGCGCTTATAAAATTTGTATTAATGTAGAAAAAAATGCTGCTTTTCTCTTTAAATGAAATACACCCTGATTTTCACGTCAAGCAAAAAAAAATTAGCATGCATATTTTTGCATAGGACCAGTGCCATCAGACCAATAGTGTCCCTTATCAAAGTTGAAATCAATTTAAGAGGGGGCACTGGCCCCTGTTGGCCCCTTTCTAGAGCCGCCTATGTTCCCAGTAAATTAAGGGGCAGTGTTTTTGCAGCCAATGACACAGAAAGAAGGAGAACCACCGCAAACGGAGGACCCAATTGTTTCTAGGCTACGTCCAGGGGGCGTGTACAGCTCATAGATATTCATTTTCTAGATATAAACGGAGTCACGACTGAAATGTTTAATCTGAGACGCACATAGATAAACATAGAATCGGAGTTAAATAGTCTGAATTTAAGCGGATTCTTTTCTCCATCCCCTGTGAGTGTTCAGACAGATCCTCCTGGGGCTGCACGGCTGATCTATGTGTTGTGTATCTAGGAGCGCTCTGTCCATCGTAGGCGGGGGCAGCAGCGGTCCGGTCTGCAGCCCGCTGTGAGCTCTCACCATCCCACCAATACATGCGTGTCCCTCAGAGCGGATCTGCTGCTGCTGCTGTACAGACAGGGACGCCGATCTGACCGCTGATTCGCTGACAAACGGCAGGTAAGTTAATGCGGCGCGCGCGGAGCTTGGAACGGAGCGCGTGCTGAATGACCAGCTCATGTTGCTGTTTATTCAGAGTCAGATCAAACCCACTATAGTTAAAATAACCTCTGATAGGCCGGATTTTAATTGTTTACTGGGTCGGTATCCCATAGTAACGGTTTTATTTTAATTATGGTCGCTTAATTGACACGGTGACAGTTTCCCTTTGGGGTTTAAAATAAATATAAAACATACAAACTGTATATTTTATACTCATGTATACGAATAGAATAGTTTACCCTTGGGAAGACATTTTATCCACCTATTCTGCCTGCCTGGTTAAAGCTGTGGCGCAGCTTTATTAGCTGCTGCAGATATTAATGCGTCCTGCAACTTTTATTAGGCGGATGACGTCATTATTATAATTGACCAGGCAGTGAAGTTCTCAGCAGGAGGAGAGGAGTTGGAGGCGGGTGCCATTCACGATGCCATTGCCTCCCTTATGATCTAATGCTTTAGGTTGGAGCCTACGCAGTATGCGCATTACTGCTGGGCAGGCCGGTCCAATAACAGTCCCAAAAACACCCCCCCCCAAAAAAAAACAAATCTAGAATCATCTAGAATCAAAAAGAAAAAAAGAAGAAAAGCTGCATTCCTCTGTATTTCGTTGCATTGCATCAGGACTGAGTGCAGAGGTGCATCCAGAACATTTTAACCAGGGTGGCCAGCAATGTACATTGAGGGGGGGCCGAAAGCGGATAGGTGCCAGAACCTCAGGGTCAATCCTACACTGTTCCTAAAGGGAAATAAACAATCACAACATCCATATTTTCTAAATGAAGACAAACGATACTTTCCTACAGCCTTTGCTAACAAAAAGATGCATATATTTAAACAGCCATGCTGTCTAAATTAAAGGTGTAATAGACAAAATTCTTTCAGTTTTGAGTTCTTGAGTTCCTGTGTGTATTACTTGTAATTAAACAACCATAGAAAATAAAATATTCAAAATTTGATGGAGATTGAAAATTAGTGATATAGTAGGCATGACCCCACAGCATCATAGATCTTTGGCCGTGCTTCTCCATGTTTATTTCTTCCGACCCCACTCTGTTGGTCTGTTGATAAAGAAAGGTTTGTTTTTTCTTTTAAATCAGTTTTCAGATCTAGTAGTATTTATCAAACTGTATAATATTAGGACAAAACAATATATATATATTTTTTGAAATACCTAAAGACATCAGTTGGCATCTATGATTGTTAGTAAGCCTTGGTTTTGTCCTCACTCAGATCTTTTTAACCTCTGTTAACCATTTTCTTCTTCACACCAGTGAGATAAACCTGTTTGTCACCGCTCTAGTTTTAATTAAGCTTTATGATTATTACCTGTCTTTTTTATTTTTGTTCAAACTGTTTAAAATCCAGATAGCTGTAGATCTTGGATATGAGCAAATATAGAAGGGGGGATGTTTGCTTGTACCTATCGGCCTCATTTTAATGCCATTTTATCTGGCTTAGAGGAGAAGACCCATATGTCACATAATCTCTATCTCCAACGAGACTAAGGAAGTCATTGATTTTAAAATAAACAATCACAGAAACCCATCATTTCAGTTAGATTATTTAATAAAGAAATGATCAAATTTTCATAAAGTTTACAGGAACTATTATTACTGTCAATAACTGTTGCTACACCTATCATTGACCTTACTGATGAATGAATCTATCGATTATCTTTTCAATTAATTTAATCATCTAAAACGAGTTACGTTCAGTAAATTTAATTCTAAACACAAACATTTGTAATATATAGAAAAAAATGGCACATTTTAAATAAATTGCAAATGGAAAAACATGTAAACATATACATCCATTTAAATCTATATACAATGAAACAGTACAATTTTAATATGGAAACTTGCATATATTATATTTTTTAATTATCTATAACATATTTGCTGCGTTCTGTCTTAATTACATTATTATTACACAAATTGCATCCTTACAGTCTGTTTACCATAACTTTAGGTAACGATTCAGATTGATTAACAAATTAAATGAGAAATGATTCAATAATCAATTAATTAGATTCATTGTTTCAGCCCTTGTAATCTGTAATCCACCATACGGTATCCATAAAAATAAAGTGTTATAAATCTTAATAGATGTAATATAGAGTTAATGTTAGCTGTATCAATGATAATAACTCCCAGCCATCCCTTGCTGCCTCCTTCAGGTGTCTACATCCCACTGGTAAATTCCAGGGAAGATGTCTCATCGCAGTGGGCAAGAGGATCCGGAGCGGTACCTGTTTGTGGACCGGGCCGTTGTGTACAACCCAGCCACCCAGGCAGACTGGACGGCCAAGAAGCTGGTGTGGGTCCCCTCTGAGCGCCACGGCTTTGAGGGGGCAAGTATCAGAGAGGAGCGTGGCGAGGAGGTGCTGGTGGAACTGGCGGAGAATGGAAAGAAGGTGGTGATCAACAAGGATGACATCCAGAAGATGAACCCACCAAAGTTCAGCAAGGTGGAGGACATGGCTGAGCTCACCTGCCTGAATGAGGCATCAGTGCTGTACAACCTGAAGGATCGCTACTACTCCGGACTCATTTATGTGAGTATTACCGGTAAGCCTGAAGGCTTTTTAAAAAAGGACATATATTCCTCCCAGAACAGCTGACAGATTTCTCTAATACTGTATTTACCACGTTGTAAACGTCACTTCTGATCTTCTGTGAATCAAGTGTCATCTTCCCTTTGGTTGGTGTGTGGCTGTAGCTTCACCTCTGCCATGAACACAGACTCATTTTGTCTTCTTCTAACTTTCACTGGTTTGTTTGGTCACAAATCGCTGCTTGATCCCTGCTTCCTCTGACATTTCTGCTACAAAAACTCTGAATCTCTTCGTCACAAGCCAAAATTAGGAATTTGTTCTGCCTTTTATCATTATCTTTTATCATTAGTTGTTCTTACCCTCACTGCATGTAGCTGTGTTTTTTATGTTAATAAAACACAGATAAATCTGTAAAAAATTATTTAATATAAGAGTGGGTGATATAACGTAAATATTTATCTCAGATTTTTTTCCTACTGAATCAGATTAATTTAGTGAAATGAAAAATTACAAATTGTGTGCATTACTTTCAAAAACTAGCTTTTATTTCAATCATCCTCTGGAAGGGGATCTTGATTTAAAAGGCAATGGAATTGAATCTTTAAAAGATGCTTTTAAACACAACACCAAACAATGAAAATACATATCAGAGACAGACTGATGCATTTGGCTGATACATGCACATATTTGTCATTCCATTAGTGCATTCAGTAGCTGCTTTGAGTTTAAATGAGGCGCATGGATTGCTGCTTCCTACCTTTTTATCTATAGTTGGCATTTTCTTTGAGTTGTCAATGCATGTTTTTATTTTTGTGTAACTCTTGGTTATTGTTTTGTGATTTTTATCATGTTAATGTCCGAAGAGGGAGCAATATTTGCCTAAAGAATCGGCCTAAAAAATCAGCAGCCAATATCAGGGATCAGTTAAACTTACAAAATTATTGGTGTTGGTTTTGGCCTCAAAGTTGAAGGGAAGCGGCTGTTCCAACCAGTTGAATTTCCGAATTCTCCTGAGTGATGCCCGACTTTACATGAGTGAATTAAGTAAATGTGATTGGTCGATTATCAAAGCCTCGCAACGCTGCCAGTTCTGTTAGCTCTACGCCTGCAGAAGACACAGACGTCCATCCCTGTGAACACTGGGAGGGAACTCAATGGGAAAGGAAATGATTCTTATTCCAACCATTGCGTATATTAGCTGTGACATATGAATTAACGATGCTATAACCAAAAAAAATTTGATTGACAGATGACCGTCGGTATATGATTGGCTGAACTTAGGTGTTTTGAGGATGATGTATAACTAACTGGCCTGCATAAGATAACGAAAAAAAACCCCACAAATTTTAAGACAGGATTTTGTTTTAAGTAGAAATTTTCTAAATTTTTGGACAATATTGTCGGATAAAGACTACATTTATATATGTTTAAGCCAGAATGATTTTACAATTCAATATGATTTCCATAGACTTAAAGAAACCCAACTCTATTGGTAGATCTCAGTTTATAAGAACACATCTTAGAACCAAAGTGATAAACTGTTGTCCCTCTAAGATATGAAATCAGAATGTAAATATCATATTTAAAACTGCTTCAGTAAAATAGGATGATAGTGGGCGGGGTTTCCGCAGCCTAAGCGGACACGCCCCCAGTGCAGAGAAAACTGACATTTAAAAAGAAATTAGTTTTGATCCCTAGTTTTATAGGATTATTTACATTTTTAATCATTCAAAGTTAGATGGATGAAACTTATTTATCAGATGTGACTTTAAAGAGGGGGAAGATGACATGTTTTAGAAAATATATAAAAAATAAAAACCCTTCAAGTATTTTCATGCATTTAGATTAGACTGGGAAGCATACATAAAATCCAGAGCAACCAGTTACCTTTTAGAAATCTCTCTTCCCTTTATGAAGTAGTAGTTAGTCGATGCCTGTTGGCCTTTGTCCATAAGTCATGTAGGGGACAAAGCTAACACGTGAAAGAGGTGGACTTTGTCAGAAAAGACCAAAGCGGAGCACTTTGACCTACAACCAACACTGGACAAGTTTTTAACTCTAAACCTCCTTTAAATCTTTTTACTGGGACAGAATCTGGTTTAGAGAACTGAACCCACCTTTACCACTAATGTAAAGAAAGACTATATTTATATTTCAGTTATTGAAGTCTACCTTCTGGACCAATGAGGTGTTAGGAAGAGTAAATAGTGTCAGATAAAGTTTTTTGTTGCTAATCGGTTGCTGGGCAGATTTTGCTTCTGACAAATTGATTAGACTGACTTTCTTCTTCTGGCTTTTTTTTAAAATCCTCAACCAACAATACTTTGGAAATTCAGAACAGTATTTGGTCAGGTCTAAAAACCTCTAAGATAAAGCAAACTAGGCTAAGTTAATGTGTGAACTTTCTCGCTTTTACCGAATCCTGGACCAGCAGCGTGAAAGTGACCCCTGTGACACAGGAAACTAACCTAGGAAATCATCCTAAACACAGCGCCCTCATGGTCAAATAGGTTTGGTAGCGCATCTTGTTCTGGGATGTTTTTGTTGATTATTGTTGGAAAACGGGTCAGATACATCCAGGTCAACGCATGCCGCATCAAACTATTTTAAAATCTCTTATAAAACAGAAAGACTGATGTTTTAAACCCTTTCTATCCAATCTGACTTCACTGAAGCTGTTTTATACAGAAGAATGAGCTAAAAAGCCATTTTTTATCTGGTAAAAACATTTTTCTACGAATAAAAGACTCCTTATATCAATAAAAGGCTATCAGTGCAGTCTGTTAAAGAGGCTAAATAAAAATGTGTTTCATATCTTCCAGTTCTTCTTCAGTTATGAGCAACTTGGTTTCTTTCCAATTAATTTAAATCCAAATAAAACACTTGTAGGCTTTTATTTGTTGCACACAACAGTTGAAGATATGTAATTCCCAAATCTGTAATGTCTGAATTCGTAAAAAAAAAAAAAAAAATGACTGAATGGGAGCTGCTCTGTGATCTGCAGCTTGTGGTTTCGACCTATTTACTGGTAGTTTTCCAGGAATAGAATGTGGGCTATCGCCTCCGAGACTCTGATCTGGGCCCAGAAAGGCAAACTGTTGCACTTATCAGCTGTCCTTCTGCAAGACATAACATCCCCACCATTCCCCCGAAGACATCAGACACTATTTGGATGTTTGTCATGGCAATTTGCAAATAACATAGGCAAGAGAATAGAAAAATGTCAGGAATATACAGTGGTTTGTAGATTTTCTCATATGGTTTAAGTTTGATCTGCTTCCAGCAGCTTACAGAGCTCCTCTTTAGTTCCCCTGTAAACCACAGTGTCATGGTTTCTGAGTTTTCCTGGTTTAAATTGGTTTTGGAGCTTGTTAATTGTCCCCTTGCCTAAAAGAAATTGAAAACATATGTGTGGCTGCGTTGGTTTTCTGTCAGGAAGAGAATTTTCCCCTCAGCTCAGTCTCAGAGACCAACCCCCATGCATTTCTAACCTCTTCCAGAGCATTTTACCCCCCCCCCAACACCTCTGTAGACATAACATAATGATCCCCGCAGGCTGCCCAGTTTCTTTGGGTTACAGGAGAAACTTAATTATCTGAATTACGCTCTGATCACTAAGTAGATGTTTTTTTTTTTTTTTACTAAAGTTTATTCTGTTTTCTACTGATCACTTTAGAGAAAAGCCCAACTGTGATCTGTAGTGACATCATTACTAAAGCCTTGGTCAGAAAGGGAAGCAGCCCTTAAGCCCTGCAGTCTCTAGGAACTTATTAACAAAATTTCAAAATTCTTATTAACGAAATTCAAAAATTCTTCTAAATTAACAAAATAATTTTGAGGATTTTTTGTAAACAAACAGGAGCAATTAATTTTACCCCTCCTAAAATAATAAGTTTGTTATTACATTCATGGTTAAAGGGATAGTTCAGGTCATTAGACATGTATGACATGTATGATATGAAACAATGTCCCTATACCGTCACCGAGCCTCCTTCTATGAGAAAAGACTGGTAACGCACCGGAGAAAAAGTAGTTCCAGTACGGTAAACAACGTTTTTTAAGCTAGAAAAAAATGCCCATGTGGTTAGTTAAACTATTTTAAAAATTGTAAAACTTCATGGTGCTTCTTTTAGGCTAAGATATTGATTAGGGCTATACTTTAGCCGCTATCACTCCGCTGCGTAGCTGTGGAAAGCAGTTCCTGCGAAAAGAAATAAATCAAAGCTCATCAACATGCCAAAAAATTTAAATTTGTTTATGAAAGGGAAGTATTAGGATATTATTAGCAATGAAAAATATGTTCCAGCCCTATATACTGTATATATTAATAATATATTGTCTGATTTTGCTATCATCCATTCATTTTCTGTCATGCTTATCCCAAGTGGGGTCGCCAGGGCTGCTGGTGCCTATCTCCAGCTGTCCATGGGCGAGAGGCGGGGTCACCCTGGACAGGTTGCCAGTCCATCGCAGGGAAACACAGAGACAAACAGGACAAAAAACAATTCACTCACACACTCACACCTAAGGAGAATTTAGAGAAGCCAATTAACCAAACACTCATGTTTATGGACTGTAAGCAGAAGTTGGAGTACCTGGAGAGAACCCACACATGCTCAGGGAGAACATGCAAACTCCATGCAGAAATACCCTGGGCCAGGAATCAAACCCAGAACATTCTTGCTGCAAGGAAGCAGTGCTGCGCACTGCACCAATGAGCAGCCTCGTTGCTATCATATTTAAGTGAAAATATGGGGAAAAAACTATACAAAACATATTAGCAGTTTATTACGCTTGGAGTATAATGAGCGGATGATTAGTCAGGCTACCTGCTCATGTAGCCAGCATGCTTTCTGCTGCTTAACAGCTGTTGTCTAAACAGCTTTACCTCAATAAAAGTGACCTCTTAAAGGTATAGTGGAAGATGTTCTTTTTTCTGGGTGGAACATCAAAATTACTGGTCTTCCTGATTGTCAATCATTGGCCGTCCTACGTGCTGG